CTGCGAAGCTTCGGTTCGGTGCCGGCGGCGGGAGGGAGCAGCTGCTGCAGCACGTGCAGCAGTGCGGATGGGTCGAGCAGATCGGCCATTGTTGCGGGCTGGTGGAGTTGAGCAGGTGAGACGGATGGACGAGTGGTGAGCACGATGCGATGGTGTGGGTGATGGAAAGGGCAAGGCTACAGAGCAACGCGGCGAGGAGCATGTCTGTGCGCCGCTGCAGGGTGCCCTGGCTCGTGACTTTCAAGGTTGGCGCGCAGCTCAGCGCCCTTTTGGTGCTGTGTGGAGGTGGGCGGACGCGCAAGCGCCGAAAAAAAGCTTCAACGTGTTAGGTTTCGAACCAGCGTCAGTTGGCTTCCTTCATCCTTCAGACCGTGGATCTTTCCTCTCACTACAACGACAAGAACCCCCTCACGCGAACGGAAAGGGTGTCACGAATGCATGCTATTAGATACGACTGAGATGAGAACGAGTGCTTCAGGCATTTCGCAGCTCGACGCGCTCCACAAGGCCTTCGCCGAGCCGTTCGATCTCGGCCATGATGGCGGCGCGGTTGAGCTTGACCTGTGCCTTGCGGTCCGTCGTGGTCGGCTGAGACGAAAAGCCAAGGCCCACCTTGAAGTCCCGCTCGCGCTCGAGCGACGGGTTGAAGAGACCGCCGATCAAGCTGCCACCGTGGCAGTCGTGGTAGAGGCGGAACGAGTCGCTGTACAAGCCGCGCAGCAGCGCCAGGAACGCCTCGGCCGAATCAAAGCCCGGCTTGGGCGTCGCGCCCAGCACGCTCTCGACGGGCGGCAGGCTGGCGCCGGCATCGTTGACGTACTTTGTGCGTTTGCTGCCCCACACACTCGGATCGGCGTGCACGTTCTCGCTGTAGCGCGGCAGGACGTTGCGCTTGAGTGCGATCACAAAGTCGTAGTGCTCCGTCGACGGCGTAAATACCGCCATCAAGTCCTCCCTCCCCAACGACGTCGCGCTCTCCAACAGCGAGACCGCGTTCTGGGCAAGCTTACGGATGCCGTCGGCCACGCCACCCACGGGTCCCTGGCGGCCGAATGCCAGCGCCTCGACGTCGGTTTCCGTCGCCACGAACCACGCGCGGTGCGTCATGGAGGGATCGCTGCCGCGTGCCGCCTTGAACGCCGTCTCGACCTCGGTGCGCTTGTCGGCGGGGAACGTGTAGATATCCTTGGCCTCGGCCGAGTCGATCACCGCCTGGATAGGCACCATGAGCGGCTCCTCCTTCCACCTCCAATTGGCCAGCAGGCGCAGGATCCTCAGCAGGCCCGCCACCGCCGACGCCGGCGCGCCCTCCTCGGGCGACAGGTACGCCGCGGCGCAAACCAGCTCGATCAGCTCCTCGGGCACCGCGGGCGACGACAGCATCTGGCTCGCAAACCATCGCTTGGTCAGCCTCACGGCGGTGCCGAACGAGGCGAAGCGGTGGCCCATCGACGCAATGTACGAGTGGTGCAGCGGAAGCGTCTCGAAGCGACGCTGCCACTCGAGCACAATCTTGCGCGCGCGCCTCTTGGCCGCCGCCGACTCGAACCGGTCGGCGAGGATGCGCTCGAGCAGCACCTTTTCGCGGCTGTGCATCACGCTCGCCCTAAACGCAAATCCACTCGGCAGCACGAGCTCCAAGCTGCACTGGTCCTCCATCTTGGACGTGGCATTGGGGTTGAACACGACGCGCGCCGTGGTACCGGGCATCTTGTTGCCGATCTCGGCGCACATGCGCTCGAAGAACGCCGCCTTCATCGCCTGGATCGCCGCGAGCTCGTTGGGCCACTTGCCCGAGCCCTCAAACGTGATCACAATGTTGTGCACCGGCAGGTACGACGCTGCGTCCGGGATGCGCTCGCCCAGCAGCTCGAGATTGAGCGGCGCGGGCACAAACGTGCTTGTGCCACGCAGACCGGGCGAGGCGGGCGACACGGCGATGATCGACAACGGCAGCGATTCGAGCGCCCGCAGATCCTTGGAGAGCTGGTCAAAGGCCGTCTGGACGGGCGTGAAGCCCTTCTCCTCTGTGCTGACCACGTGCGCCGTTCGCGCCAGCGTGCTGTCCACCTCGAGGAGCGAGTCAAAGTGCGACGCGACAAAGTGGATCTGCGACTCGTGGATGGCGTGATGGCGGTAGAGCACGTACGAGAGGATGCGGCGCGGGATGGCCCAGCGCGACGCCTGCGTGGTGACGGGCCACACGACACTCTCGAGCACGCGTCCGTCCTTGAACCGACGCAGCTCCGACATCTTGCCCCAGAAGGCACGGAAGCGCTCGGCCTGTTCGGTCTCCTGGCTCGACGGTCCGTGCTCCACCATCCTCCATGCCTGCTCGCCGTCGAGAACCACGCCGATCTCGGCATCGCTCAACGCAGCAGGGCGGCTGCCATTCAACCTCCACGTGCCCGCCAATCCGCCGGTGGCAGGATGCATGAGAGCAACGAGCTTGGCACGCCCCTCGAGCGCGCGCGAGGCGGTGGAGCTGACCTGGATCATGGCCGCCTGGAACGAGATGCCAAAGTCGGCACGCTGGATGGGCGACGCCGCAGAGATGCCCACGCCGTTGCTCTCGCGTGCCTTTGTGGACAGTGGCAGGTCGATGCGCGCCACCTCGTCAAAGGTGAAGGGCGCGGCCGTTCGATCCTGCAAGAAGAGCGCATCAAAGTGGTCCGAGCTCGGGTCGTTGAGCATGTCGAACGTCCTGCGGGCCTCGTACTGGAGCAAGTCGACGGAACCGGTAGGCACGAATGCGAGCAGGTTGAGCATGCCGCTCGGGTCGACGAGGACGCGGTCAAAGACCTGGCTGAATTCGGCACGGGGCATCTTGTCGGCCCTGGACGCCAGGCCTGCCTCGGGCACGGGCTTCATGAAGACCGGGTTGGCACGGAAGTCGTGCTTGGCGAGCCAGTCCATGACACCACGGAAGAGTTGGTAGCTGGAGAAGCTGTTGGAGAGCTTGCTGCGGCCTGCGTTGGACGAGTCGCGTTTGCCCGCACGCTTCTCCTCGCCCTGCAGCAGATGCGCAAGGATCATGGTGAGCAGATAGCGCAGCGAGGCCGTGCCCGCCACGAGGCGGCGACGCTCCTCCTCCGTCGCAGCGAGCTTCGGGTTGAGTCGACCGCCCGAGCCAAAGCCGCGCTGGAAGGCCCACGTCTTGAGCAGCAGACACGCATCGGCAAAGGCGGGACACGCTTGTGCGACCGAGTGGAGGTAGACGAGGTGCGGAAGGTGCAGCATGTCGGCGAGAATGGCTGCGTTGTACCGCGGAGTAGCGACGGAGGCTGCATCAGCCGGAGTGGCCTCGCCGGATGCCACGCGCACGTTGCTGCGCAGCGGGCCAAGGTGGATGGGCTTGAAGGTGTCGGGCTCGATCGCGGGGTGGATGCGGATGTTGCACTTGAGCTTTGAAAAGTCGGTTTCCGACTTGTCGCGGATGGGACTCAGGACCAGGATCGGCCGTCTTGGATCGGCGTCGACGAGCGAGAAGGACGGCGTGACGCCAAGGTGGATGTCGTGCTCGTCCTGTGCTGTTTGGATCGCATGTGCGAGCGCGGCCAGGTAGAAGGCCTTTTTGTGAAAGTACCTGAAGTTGACGTAGTCCTTCTGCTGGAACAGCTCTGCAGGCATGACGACGGCCACGTCGACGTCGATTCCCTGCGGTCGCTTTGCGGCCGACTTGAGCGCCCAGCTTCCAACAAGGTGCATCGCGGCGGGCTTGTCGAAACCGAGCTTGTAGTTGGCGTCGGCCTTGGGAGCCGGGTCTGGGAAGGGGATGGTGACCTTGGAGTCGGCGGTTTGCTTTTGGAAGCGCTTGATGGCGTCGCCTACAGGCAGAGGCTCGATGGGCTCGAGCGACTGGAACAGCTGATGCAGACGGCGCAAGACAAGCTCGAGCGCGCCGGCCTTGCTGTAGGCCGGGCGCACTTCGGGCAGCATCTCGTCAACCTTGAGCTTGAACACGTTGTTCTTGAACAGCTCCCCAGTCTCTTTGAGGCCCTGCACCTCGGCCAGTGTCGGAATGGCATACAGCGCGCTCTTGGATGCTTTGCGCGAGGCGTATGCGGCCGCGGTGGCGGACGAGCTCGGGTCCTCTTGGGCCCCATTGGCTTCCAGATCCTCGAAGCCGCCGTCCATGTCTTCATCCGACATGATTTCGACCTCGCCGCCGTCGCCATCGGTCTGTGCTTGCTCTTCGTCGTCAGACTCGTCGTCGAAATCGTCTGCGTCGGATGCGAGCTCGATCTCGTCTTGTGATGCGGCATCTGTTGCTTCTGAATCCGATCCCTCTTCTTCGCTGTCCTCCTCATCGTCGTCTTCGTCTTCATCGTCGTCATCCTCGTTCAAATCATCTGGCAGGGCAGCAGAGCCTGTGCCGTGCAGTGCCGAATCGAGAAGGTCCTCCTCGTCGTCGAACTCGTCATTGTTGTCGCTGTCGTCCATGTAAACAGGTTCAGGCTTGCGCTTGGAGGACGCACGTGCTGCTGGGCTGGCAGCGTGTTTGGAGGATGACGCCTTGGAGGTGGAAGCCTCAGCCTTGCGCTTGGTGCCCGGCATGATCGTCAACAGAAGCTGTGTAGCTCCAGCAACGGTGGAGAGGTGAGTGGCTAGATGAGGATGATGATGGCAAGGTCCAAGCTGAGCTTTTCGAGGTGTGGAGCAGTGCAGCTTCGGTGCGAGGAATTCTTCCAAACTTTTTTTTTTTCGCCGAAGAATGCACGGCGGCGAGGCGCACAAGCGCCGAATTTCCACCTCGCTCGCGGCATATCCGACTTCCGAGAGGCTCGAAGCTCACTCATCTCCGATTGAATGCCCAAGCAGAAACAAGGATCGGTGATGTGTTGGCCAGCCAGGCGAGCACAGTCCAACACTGCTGCGCCACGCTCGGATGCCGACAACTTGCAGCGGCGCACGAAAGCAACCAACACTTTGAGCGATCTTCCTCGCTAGCTTCTTACCACCACCTTATCCAAGTCCGCATCCTCTCAACCTGCGCAACGATGGCTGATCAGGAGCACGACGACGCTGTCCACCAGATCGACGTCCAAAGTAAGCTCTTGAGAGTCGGCTGTTTCCGTCGCATATTGCTGATCCCCTTGCTTTGTTGGCGAATTGGTCGGTGTAGATAAGAGGCTGCTTCACGCGGCACGGACGGACGACCTGGAGCTTCTGCAAGACATCATCCAGTCTGGAGCATTCGATGCCAATCACAGCGACGGCGTGGGTCGCAATGCGCTGCACTACGCTGCGCTGTCGCAGTCGACCCAGGTGCTGCCCGAGATCCTCAACCTCGAGATCGACGTCGACCTGCAGGACCGCACCAACGCCGACACGCCGCTGCACGCCGCCGTCAACGTAGACATCCCCGATGGCGAGGCGGGCGCTGAGATAGAGGAAATCAGAAACTGGATCGGTAAGCCACTTCCGCACCCCCTCGGCATACACAGAAGATTCAGATGCTGACCCTGGACGAGTTGTTTTGACTGTAGTCAACGAGCTGTTGGAGGCGGGAGCGGATCCTACCATCCCGAACAAGGATGGCGATCTGCCCGCGGATCTGCTGGCGTACGGCACCAAGGCACGATCGCAGCTCGGACAGGATCTCGTGGCGCGCCTCAAACGCGGCCAGGCGGAAATGAACATCAGCTCGGCCGACATTGCCAACGACGACGACGTTGCAGAGGACGATGAAGGTGCGTCCACAACTTTCTCAGTCTCTCGTCGGATGTGGCGTGCACATGGATACTGACTCATGTGGGATTGCCTTTGAATCAACAGGAAGCGAAGGAACACCTTCGGAAGAGTAAACCTTCGCATCTCGATCTCTCGCAATGCGAAAAGATCAAGCTTCAACTGTCATCGCGGATGCTATAACGCGATGGAAGCGGATTCAGCGACGATCCACGACCTTGACTGCTTTTCTGGGTCGGTCGTTGAGACTGGCGGCTGGCTCAGTGACGATTCTTCCTACCGTCTCGAGCTCCTCCTCTTCGGACTCGGACATGACTGTAGCTGCGCGTTGCCTGGTCTTGCCGCTCGTATTGGCTGTGCTGTCGTTGCTGCTGCGTGTTTCAGCCTGCGCTGGGCTTGCGCCGGTGTCGCGGTGGCTGGGTCCTGGACTTGCTGTGGCCATTTCTTGGGCGGCGGTAACAAGTTCATCGTCGCTCTCCACCTCTTCAACCGACACCGGCACTGCCGCCACCGTTTCCTGCTTCCTTTCATCTTTGGCCTGCTTGGGCGACACGGGCGGCGGGGAGCGGTCATCTGTACCGATCACCCACACGTCAGCTCCCAGGCGACGTCGCAGCAGTTCGCGCCCGAGCCAGTCGATGTCCGACTCGTCACGCACCGCCCATTCTTCCGACTCGGCATCGCTCTCGTCGCCAGCGTCGGGAAGCTCGACGAACTGGTCATCCTGCAGAAGCATGCGTACTCCAGTCAGAGGGTGGATGGCGACTCGCGAGCCGAGCTTCGCTCCAGAAGGTCCTGCGGTACGATCGGCGATCGTGCGGCGGTACGGTGCATTGCCGAGTACGACTAGCGGCGAGGCATGGATAAACGGACTAGCGCCTGTGGGGCCTGCACTTGCATCGTAGTCGCCCCAAACCGCATGCAGGTCCCTCCGCCCATCAAATCCTGCGCGGGGCAGAGCGTGTGAGGACGAGGCATGCGAGGGGCCGCCAAGGTGCGCATATCTATCGTGTTGGTGCGGATGCCAGAGGTCCTGAACATGATGGCCATTGATGGCGAGGATGCGTCGACCAAGCAAGTCGATGAGCTGTTCATCGTCGTCGAGGAGCTGTTCCAGCTGTTGCGCCAGCGCACGCGCCCTCTGCTGCTGCGCTTGCTGGCGGCGCGCCTCGGCTTCGGCTTCGGCTTGAGCAAGCGCGTTGGCACGGCGCCTTGCTTCTTCAGCGGCAAGAAAGACGGCAGCGCGCTCAAAGTCGTTGTCCCCCAGCAGGTAGACCAGCGAGCGTGCGTCCAAGTCTTCGTCCTCCTCGATCGCGCTGGGATGCAGTGCGGGATGAGCGTGGTGCTCGAGGTGTGCCGGCACCTCTTCGAAGCTGATCGTGCCCAATACGATGCTGCGACTCATGATGCGGCATAAAGGGTACCGCTTCAGCACAAAAGAGGGTGTGGAGGATGTGGTCTTGGGTGAAGACAGATTACGATAGGATGTAGGGATGAAGGGATGGAAGAATGAAAGGATGAAGGGAAATGAAGCCCACGGTTGTTGGTTCGGTCGGTGAGAAGGCATCATGTGGAGGTGGGAGCACGTTCAGCTGCCCAAATCTGGCTCCTGGCTCCTGGCTCGGATGCGGTGCTGATTCACGCCTGGTCGTGGCGACAGAGCTTGGTCGTTGAACCCTTGCCGCTGCTGCTGCTGTTGGTCCATGCACCGACGAGCGGCTGCTGCGCACCGTGACAGCTTCGTGCCGCTCCTGCTGCTCTCTGCTGCTCCTGCCGCTCCTGGCTTGGAAATTTCGCGAAGGTGCTTGAACGGACCCTTCCCGAACATCACCTCCATCGGAAGATGCCGAAGGCTTTCGGGTCCTTTTTTCGTGAAATTCGACCGATTTTCCTAATTTTCCTAATTTTTCTAATTGATTTTTGTTTTCATTTTTCATTTTCTTGCCTGCAGGGTCGCAACATTTCTTCTTGTTGCGGTGTTCGTCTGCCCTTCTTACACCTCACCAATTCGTCAACGGGCCAACCACGATGGCTTCTGGCTCTTCATCACCGCCGAAAACGGCATTCGTGTCGTTTCCAGGAGCAGAATACACACAGACCGCCGCAATCCGAGCAGCACGCAAGGTGCTTACTCCTCATGGCTGGATCGTCGAGGCTGGCGAATCAGCAGACGCCCCACACCATGCTCAAGACGACAGCGGCCCCAGCGCTCCCTCGGGCAAGGATCTGTACCTGGCCGACTACGATCTGCTTCCTTTCGAAGAGCTGCTTCCAGGGGCTCCGGCGTCGGCCAAGGGCAAGCAGCCACAGTGCTCGAGCTATGTGATCCGCAAGGCGCTTATCCGCAAACACTACCTCGCTTCGGCGCTCAACACGTATGCGGTCAAGCTGCCGCCGGGCGACGAAGCACGTCGCTTCCGATCGTGCACACCCAAGACGTGGCATCTGGACATCCAGTTTGCCGACGAGCTCGACGAGCTGCTCATGGACGATCTCTACGACCTCGCCGAGCTGCTCGAGCAGAACGAGCGCGCGCTGGAGGAAGCAAGGGACAGCGATGTCAAGTGGTTCATCCTGAAGCCAGGCATGGCGGATCGCGGAAACGGCATTCGCATCTTCAGCACGCTCGATCAGCTTCAGTCCATCTTTGAGGAGTTCGAACCCGAGTCCGACGACGAGGGTGACGAGGACGACGATGTCGACGACGATGGCGAGGCTGGATCCTCGGCAAGTGGACACGCGTACGCGGGCAAGGACACCTCGGTCATGGCCAGCCAGTTGCGCCATTTCGTGATTCAAGAGTACATTCGGTCACCGCTCATTGTCGACCCTATCCGCTCCCCACAGGGCGACTCTTTGGCAAAGGAGGTCTCACAAAAGCTTTCACTCGACTCGGCACCAGGCTCGAACGCGCGCAAATTTCACCTTCGTGCCTACGTGCTATGTGTGGGCGGCGTGGCGGTGTATCTGCACGACGAGATGCTCGCGCTATTTGCACCATTGACATACGAAGCGCCGTCTTCGGCGACGGTGCGCGATCTGCGATGCCACCTCACCAACACGTGCCTGCAAGACGACGGCTCGCTCGCTGTCGGCAACGACGCACGGCCCAAGGAGGAAAACGTCTTTCTGTGGTCCGACCTCGTCGGCTCAGCGTGCGCGAACCTAGGCCACGAAGGAGCAGGCGCGACTCTGTCGTCCGATATGGTCGATCAGGTGCGACGTAAGGCTGCCGACGTCATTGGTGCGTGCTTCCAGGCTGCAGCCAAAGCGGGCAGCATCCATTGGCAGATGTGGCCCAACGCGTTCGAGGTGTTTGGCGTCGATCTGCTCGTCGGCTACGACGATGATGCCCAAGCAGAAGCGCAACATCCGAGCGATCTCAACGTATGGCTGCTCGAGGTCAATGCGCAGCCCGACTTTGCCCAGACGGGCGCCAGGCTGAGCGCCATCATCGACCGCCTCTTTGAGCGTGTCTGCGAGATCGCCGTCCTCCCCTACCATTCTAAGGGCTCCGACCAGACAGACATGGACTCGTGGAAGGTCGGCGAATCGCGCCAGAACACCACGCTCTGCTATAGAGAAGATCTGGGTCGCGGCCTGTAGCACCGTCCAACTACAAGCTCATGCATAGCATCAACAGATCGAAAGATCGCCTTGTCGCTGTCGAGCCGACTTGGCGATGTTAGACTTGCTGCCTCTCATCGCGAGCCTGTTTGAAATTGATTGATTGTGCACCCCGCGTCGTGGGTCAAGGCCATTCCCCAACTTTTAGCGACTCGAGCAACACGCCTCACCGCGGGGGGCGGGGCAGCGAGACAGGGCCTCTCTTTTTTCTTCCAATTTTCTCTCGCATTTTTTTCTGCTGCGTCTGCCTCGGTTGTGCGCCTGGCGGGCTCGGATCTGGCCGCCGCACCCGAAATCGATTGGCTGCGAGCTGTCCCGCAGATGCAGCTGTAGCAGGGATGAGTGGACCCGCACAGACGCCTCGAAATTTCAGCGACGCGTGTGAAGCTTTGCCGCTCGGCTCGGCTCGTCCGCTACAGGTACGCCGCTTCCAACGCTTCTGCCCCAAAGAGAGCTTCGAGCTTGCGGGAGGTGCGCGTGCCAATTTTGACTGGAGAGAGCGAGCATGGCTCGAGCATGCTGGCCGTGCGGCGCTGATTCACACTGGGCAGGGCAGGAACAGCATCCCTGCTCCGCATCGCATCTTCCGAACACCATCATCGCTTCCCAGCCGATTCACCAGATCCCCAGCCAGTCTCGCCGCATCGACGGCATAGGCATCCGAGCGTGAGCACATCATCTCTATTCATCTGCAAGTTACCTCACCGACTCGCCGTCACGCCGCCGCGACGACGCGCCTCGATTGGATGCTGCACATCGCTGTTGCGCTCTCACTCTCCATCACCTGCCGATAGCTCCTAAATGAACGGCACATCCGACTCGCCTCTTGCAGCCTCCCGAGATCG